ACAGTGAATTCTATAGTTTGTCATTCTCACCTATTCGTTCCAGTTTAAAAATGTACTTTCTAACAACAATAAAAATATCAGCTCTTCTAAGGATTATAAAAGTTCTGTTCCATTTCATTTAATACATAAGTAAAAATGTAATTCTACCAAGATAACTTATTGGACAAATATTTAGATTTAGTGGAAGGGGTGCTAGGAAGAATGCCTTAAATGAAGTATAACAATCAGCTCATTGGTAATTTACTTCAAAATGTTCCTTAGGTTTTAGTGAGAATTATGATTGATGAAGTTTAAACGAATTTTCAACAATGATATCCCATGACTACTGTATTATATCACGAATTGAATATTGGACGCCAACTCAGTGATCTTAATAGTTAATTGTTTTCCGTGAGACTTTTATGCTTTGGATTTGATCTCTGGTACTTCATAGGTGTTCTATTGAGAAGTGGCATATTAGAACAGAACGGTTGTCCACTGCTCCCGGGTATTCATTAGTACCACAACTAAGACCAACCTGTTATGAATACTACTTATAAAACTCCAACTCATTAAAAATTACAACTTGTAAGTGGCATAACTGGTGTAACGGAATTCTCAGGCTCAAATTGGAAGTGATCTACAATGTGGAAATAATTTAATCAATACCTATACTCATGTGTTTAAACAATTTTCGATTGTAAATGACCAACAGAATAGGGTTCAATATTTTCCCTTAGTTTTCGCATTTCATTTGTTAATAATCATTGTCCTTAAAAATCAATTGATCAATCATAATAATACCAATACTGTCATTATTATTATAGAAGTCACATTGATGAAACGTTTCTGTGCTACCGAAGGTGCTGAGCCAGAAGAAATTAAATGTGTTGATCATCCTTCAGAAGGCGGCAATTCAGAATTATGTATTTGTGGTACGGATAATTGTAATTCTGCTCCACAATTATTGAAATCGTCATTATCATCACCTATTTTTTCTCTCACAATATCAACCGTTTACATGATATTTATGAAAATCAACTAATTAATATCATTATTAGTCAACTTTGTAAGTAGTATATACATATTGTTGAGAAACAGAGATATTTTTAGTCAGATGTGTTAACCGATGGGACGAAATGCATCACGTTAGTTTACTATATAAATGTGTGAAAACACATGCAGACGTACACAAACACCTATATAAGTGCACACCTACAAAATTGTGCATTTCCCTAATTGGTAGCCATAATTCATTTGTCATTCTATTCGCCTTTTTAAACTTACATACAATTAGGATGGTTATTACTACTATTATTGTCAATAATATTGTATGTTGTGATGATTGCTTTCTATCTTGTTGTCCATTAGTATCATATACATATAAGTACAATTTAGTTTTTACATAAATTCTACTGTTGTCATTATTAATTATAAATGTACAACAGCATTATATAATATATATATAGTAATATTTACCATACATTCTTTATCAGTAATGCTTGTTGACTTTTAGTAAATGGGGTTTTCCAACTACTTTTAGGTATATTTGAAGGTGAGCTTGATATTAGATTGATGAAACATCATTTAGATATTTCTAACATAATAATGCATAGGGGTACATATTGTCGATCTGAAATAGTTGTCACGTCGATCCACTACCTGGTCGGTAGAATCCAACCAATTCTTGAAAGATTAGACAAACATGAAATCCGCCATCACTCAGTTATAAATATCTCAGGAGTGTAAGAGACTAGTCCTAGTCTAAATAGTTTAGTGATAACGTCCCAGGATATAAAACAGTATATCGCTTGAACACCACAAGTTTCATTTCCTTATTTCTTGATCGATTCTGACGATAAATGCTGAATGGTCACCAGTTAGGTGTTAGCAGATCAGTAATCGATATCTGAATAATGTTCATTCTTTTCAACATATATTACCAGCCATTACGATGTCTCTGATTGTACTATTTTGTAACCTGTACAGCGAAAGGTCGTGAACTTCTTATAAACGCGCCTGAATAGGTCATAAGCGTAATAGACATAATGATGCATTAATGCAAACAAAAGCAGATAACTTGTTGGAATATTCAGATGGCAGGAACAGGTGGCCCATAAATTCAAGTAGGCTGACGTGGTAGGCGTTAATACTGATTAACCGTCAGTCTATCTTGTTATGTCCTAGTGAAGATTAAATTATGGGTAACATCCGAGGACCATTAATGGACTAATATTCCAGAAATATTCTTATTGTATAATTATTCAGTAATTAGACTAGGTATATTTATATTCCTCTTATTATAAGCTTCATTTTGACCTATAATTTATTTCTGTATGATCTACTGTTCTTAAGCTATGTTCAGTTTATTGACTACTCCCTCCCACGTTCACAGCCACTTTTTGACTTTACCATGTACAAATGTTATTTCCTATTTTATGATGCGTTGTGGTCTCTTTGTTTGATATATAAACACAGTATGTTTGAAATATTTAGTTCGCATAGTGGAAGCTGGTATTGGTGTTCTGGACTCAAGTGGACGGGCTAGGCGGACATAGGACGAATAAGGACGCTAGGCTGCCCATACCGATCGAACGTCATTGGTTTGGCACAGTGCTAAGATTGTACAAGTCGTATTTTGATTGGTGGATAAATCGCGTGATAAACGGCGGACATAAAGTCATAACATATCTAGTCATATTAAATACGAAATGTTTCATAATTCTTCTTAGATGACTCATAACAGTAGCTTAAAAACACTACCAACTCGTACATAACTTACCACTATCTTTTCATGAATAGTCATGAAATTTTTATTCATCAGGTTTGACCTGACATGATTCAAACACATTATCAATTCTCGTTCGTCTAGTTGAAATATCTAAGATGCATATGATTTGGTGAATTTCTTAAATAGGAATTTCATGGTTGACTGTTATCATTGTTCTATGTGTATTTGTATTTACAGTACCACTTTTCGCCAGCTCGCACGTGCTAACTTGGCGTCGGGAATGACTACTCCTCTTGTAATGACCTAATAGTTATAACGACCAAAACATTTTTTCTTTAGATCCTACCATGCTAGGCAGATTCACCAGAGAACGGCTAAGATAGAGACAATGGTGGAATACCGCTGCGATGAGACGGAAATAAGGTGTTTTTCTCAGGTAACTAATACCTACAGCGATGCTGTTTTGACACAATGAAAAGAAGGGGTTAGAGAGGTTCGCATCAAAGAACAGCATGTCTCACTTTACGGATTTACATCTCCGATGGTAAAGCTTTCAAAGCATGGAGTTAACATATCAAGAACTAGTCATAAAAATACTGTGTATAACCAGGTTTAAGCAGATATTCCTTAGACTCCCGCTCCCAGGTAGCCAAGATCGCTACTAATTCAGTTTCCTTTCCAGGGACTTTCTTACGGTTGACTAACTGATTGAGTACCAGTATCAATGATTCTTTAAAAACATTTATTTTGATTTGTTCCTTTTCAAAAATTTAATTCAATCTATCTACATTCTAAGGCCTTCCCTGACATACTTTAATCTAGTGATTTGAAAACAATCTGTAATCTTGACGTTAAAAAAGTGAGTTCCCATTTTATGCTAAAGCCTATTAATACGTAAACCTTCATCACCATTAAGCATAACATCAGATTAGATTAAATGTTGAATAAGTTATTCATAAAAACGTATATTAATTAAAGCAAACATCCCGATAATCCTTAGGATTGGAACATAAGAAAAACTCATGATAAGTTCAAAATATGCGGGAAACCTTTAAAAAAAAATCCGGGGAAATAATATGTAACATTAATGTAATTTAATCAAAGCTATCAATAAGTCAATAGTTCTCTTTTCAAAGATCATTTTGTCAATGTCATTCTCCACAAACACACACACATAGAGAGAGAGAAGTCAGAAAATTATTATCACAAAAGAATTACAACCAACAACAAAAGTAGAACATACAAATACATTATTCTCAACGTATCTAATTAATAAGCGAAACAAAACAAAACAAAGCCTGAATACAACATCACAATTCAAAATACAAATTACATTAGTTTCAGGATAAGGGGTGGGCAAGGTAAAAGTAAGCTGATGGATTCTCCTCAGTAGTAGTAAAAAGAAATCAACAAAATTCACCACTACTCACAATCACAAAAACAAGTACCATTTTTGGCATATTTTAAGCAACATAAAACTTATTGCCGTTGTCCACAGTGAACAGAAAACAAAAAGAAAGGGAGAAGGAGATGGAGAACAAGGCATAGAAGGAGAGAAAGGATGAATGAATCCCTATTGCTTATAGTTATGGTGATGATCTTTTGTTAACAAGGGTTGAGCTGGATATGCGCTACCGTGTGCATAAACGCAAAATAACACTACTTGATGTAATTCAAAGAATCAAAATAGGTTGTGTTTTTTATTATTCATCTAAAATGATAGGATCATATTGAATTAATGAAGAAAGAAAGCAAATGAAGCAAAAAGTAACAAACCGTGAAACCAATGTGGTGATGATGACAAACTGAGAACAGTAACAAAGAAAATACAAACACCGTCTGTGTATGCTCATAACTTGGCCCCGTCTAGCTACTTTCTTTTCATACATAAAATCTATACCTACCTTCATATGTAGTATGGTTTATATTGTTTGTGAATAGTAGTCATACACATACAAACACAGACATGATGCATTACCCTAATATATAAGCCAGAAATTGTTGAAATATTTCAAGGAAGCTCTAGTCATAACACACTTCAAAGGAATTCGCAAGAATAAATACCAGATTGAGATTGATGTAAATATAAATGGGTATTTTTTTTAAAAAAAAAGTTGTACTCCAACAACAAGAGTACATAAGAAAAGAGTAAGGCATTCGACGAATTTCATGCTGCAAATACTAGGAGAGTGTTTGTTTTGAATAAGCAAAACCAAAGTAAGGGATTAAACTAGACCAATAATCTAAGCATCAACCCATATCGATAGTGTTCATATTATCATCAATAATATCAATGTAGTAAACTGGATACTTCTTTATGAATATGACATAGATATTCTGTGTATGAAATCGAATTACCACTGCATCGATCCTCGACCATGAAACGTCGAAACCATAGTTCGCTTTTATCTCCAGGACGTACAACCAATAACTACAACAAACAGTACACCAAGAAGAATAGAGAAAAGAGATATATACCATTTAGAAAAAAAACAGAAAATCATACATTTGACATTTAATAATGCATCATACAATTTTGGTAGAGAGATACAATATAGTTAAATGAAACTGTACTGCCTAACCAATGACAATACAAAAGGTAACGATGGCTATTAGTTCTCATGTGAATTCCTAACGGCGATACCGCACAGTATTGTAGTAATACTGAATTTAGAGCAGAAAATTACTCCGAATCACAAAACACAATGTTTTGATTTAATAGTCCATATCATAGACTCAACTTAAACAACCGTTGAAAAATATCTGTTTTATATTTTAACATGTGACCCCCTCAGTATTGTCCATCCCCATGACAATACATAAGACAGAACCCACGACTTTCAGGCTCAACAGTGTGTTTGACCATCAGATTACAAGGTTACCATCTAATAACATATGTTTAACTTCAAATCAATTAGTAGCATTTCTTCCTGATTTTCAATGGTTGTGATTTAACTAAGGTCAGGTTCATATATCATAACAATAACAAAATTTAAACATATTCACAAAACCCTCACATTCGCGCGTGAGATCGAAGAGCCTAGAATCAAATCCCGTGTGCAGGATCGTGTATGAGCACTGTTGAGGAGTTCCATGCTAGGACGAAATGGACTTCTAGTACTTTCGATTCATGATCTCAATGAAAAAAAGCATTTTGTTGAACTGTGCAGTAAAAATGATGTGAAATGAAAGTAGACTAATATGAATACACGGTGAATACTTCTTGAATATAATGTCAATTATCAAAAACATATTTTATGAGCAATCTTACTATTTTCCCTTTCTAAAAAAAAGAACTCCCTAATCAATACACTGCGAATAACAGTCTTTTATTGTTGTACAAATAGCTAAAGGGGAGAAAAGGCATCATTTAAGCTATTTTTAAATGATTGCCTCAGAGAATCATCTCATCAACCATTTGGAATATTTGCAAACCAAGAAGACTTCATTTTAATATTTGCTATTCTAAGCGCTTCAAGATCATCTTTAGTATTATTAATATAATATAATTTAATCGGATATATCTTTATCAAGTTTATGTAGTTAAGACTTTCACAACTATATTCATTCGTAAAACGGTTGTATGATCCAAATTCAAAGCCTTAAAATTAGATTAAGTGAAGTAGAAGGTTAGAATATGTGAATTGATATTGTAGTGTCAGTTATTATTTTAAGCCCATATATCTTATTCTGGATTTCGGACAGACCAATCTATTCATTCTACTTGAGTCATATGTTGACCTTGTTAGTTATTCGCTTACCAGTCTTCATTGTTTTTATATGAGCGTATATGCGTGTACAGTTTTTATCCCATGTCTCATCACATGTCTGTAGCTTATTTTTGTCAGCCTATAAATATTGGCTAACGCCTGACTAAAAATGAGTTGGCTTACCAGCCATCTCCACTCTGCATCGGTTCTCTTCCTGCTATTCCATTCACCTTATATACAAAATATATGTATTCAAAATCCCATTCTCGTTATTTGACTTATTTAATTCCGTTATTGGCTAACGTGATTAAAGTCGACGATGATATACGAGAATAGGCGATAGCAAACATCCATACGATCTAGATAGGAGTCAGATCAACGGGCCACTAAAATATTGATTGAAAAAGTTGAAGTATTTTTAATCTAAAAATCATCGATACTTAGAAACGAACATGATGGTTCCACATGTAAACTGATGTTTCAGTTAGTTAGTGAATATCTATCATACAAATAACTACCTATTAACATAGTCATTTTATTAACCAAATTAATAAATACACGTGTATAAAATTGTTTGATATTCAATGACAAAGTTAAATTTCATATTAGAAAATCTAAGTCTCTAAAACATGAACACCTCATATTTCCCCATAGATTTCCATCGCCAGTGGTAGAGCCTTTGAAATACTAAGCTAACACATTAAGAACTATTCACAAGAAAGTTATATGTGACCAGTTTCAAGCAATTACCCTTCACGTAATGCAGTCATGCTCCCAGGTTTTTAAACGTACTGCGTATACAGTTTCCTTTCTAGAAAACAGAGAAGTAACAATCATCCATATACCTTAAAAACATTTAAGTTCATCATATTCGTGACTAACCCATGGAAAATTAAGTTCAAAACGTAACAAGTGAAATTCAGGAAAGGAAAATTAAGAATGGTATTTAAGATTTACAAGATAAAGAAATAATAAGTTCAGCTTCATCATTACGACTTCTTTACGCCATGTCATCTAGTATTTTTAAATGTATACACCACGCCTATCCTGTTATCTTTATAACCAGATAATCTTCATCTACTCAATAATATTGTTGATTGACTGAATTCACGAACATCATCTGTCCATAACACTATGAAGAGGCAGCTGATTAGCCTGACTACCATATTAAAGAATTTTATAGATGATATAAAGTAGTGAATATCTTGAAAATGGGAAATATTAACCTGCATTAAAACTTATAAATTAATATGATCATTGACTATAGTTTGAGTACTCAACTGAACAGAATATATACATTCACAATGGACGTCATTTATTTGTTCAAACAAGAATTAGACATACAGAAAGTTCCCACTTACCCGAGAATAATGCCAACGATTTTTACGAACTTTTTTCAGCAATGTGCACAGATTACGTGAGATTTCGTTATCAAAATTACACAAGTCATAGATCTAAATTATAGGATTATAAAAACAGCATAACGTAATGTAAGTATAAATATTATATTACTTATGAATGAATAAGTAGTTTAAAACATTAGGATATTTAATAGGATTTTTAAACTCAATAGTAGTGAAGAGCTTCTCTAAGTGACCCAGCATCATTTATTAGAGAACCACTGTTCCATAAGACATATGATCAAGTTTTTTTTAAACCATTTATTTGGATGTTTACTATAAAAAGTTGATTCTTCAAGTCCCGTGGGCACAGAACATGATAAAGAGAGTAGACAGATATAAATTTCGACTGAACAACTGTTATAGAGTAGGAGGATTTCTAGGTTTTCTTTCTTTTTTGAACGTTTAGATTACTAAATTATGAATAGAGTACTGATTGATTGATAGTGTGCAATGACTAAAACGGTTTTTGGCTGGAAATTGTTTATGACAGCAAATTTTTGACTCAAAGTTCAATTTAACAGCCACACTACATTCACAAATAAGTGAAGAATCTCGTATATAAAACAGGATTTTTACCCAACGATTGTAAGCAGTGGTAAATAAAGAATGTGATAGAACAAGTCAGCAATTATAGAACTTATCGAGGAGGGTAAGGGATTAAAAGGTTATCAATAAATGAAGCGATTGCAACAAAAAGGTAGTGGACTTTTAAACCAAGAAACTTAGTACTTCTCGCTACTTTTTCAGTTTTGTCCAGTTTACCCAACAAAAATCCGATTGGGAAATCGATATTTTAACCTTTAACTCTTACAAAAGTCGAGATTATTATAATCAAGGTGGATTAAATGGCAACGAACGACATCGATAAGTTAACTTTAGGGGGTACGCATTAGAGGTTTTAGGATATTTGGGACAGCTTGTCAGTGAGTCATAAGAAATGTGCAGAACCTGGCACATGAATATATCAGATCAAGCTTCCATACCACATCAGTACAACGAAAACAAATTATCAAGACAAATCCCAGAATAGTAGAAGAGAAAGGAAAATAGAGCAATCCAAGTAATAACAGGATTGGAAGAACGATTAAGAGTTTAAAAGACAACTCAAAGAGGATATGCAAATGGTGCATTTAATGAGTGACTTCCATATTTTAAAAGGGCACCGTGTGATTTTGCACAAAGTAATTTGGTTTGCCGTACCTGAATTTTCGTCCAGTATAATAGGTCTATATAAATGGGTCCATACGGTTAAGATCAATAATCAACGGCTCTATGGACTAATGTTTTATTTAGGCCACGCTTAGCACCATTTTAACCTACTTCTACACTACCAGACATTGTATGTCGACGTAGGGAGTAACTGCGCACACATGATAAGTGGTCATACTCACCTCAGATAATAAAGATTAAAAACGTCATTAGTGCTGTCTTGAAGCCGTCACCAATCAGAGTCCCAATTTTCATTTTTCCCTAATGCGACGTCTACTATGTCCTCTATAAACTAGTGTCCCCAATCACATACCTGATCAGTACTATTGACCTTGAGTCGACGAGGCTAAGTTCCGAATCGTCCACTATTCGCAAGCTTCTCTCTATGCTCTAACATGAGTTCAAAAGTCAGCAAACAGCTTCTACTACATCTACATTTCAAACAGACATAGTTTATGTACAGACACACTGGACAGCATCACACCATAAAATGAAAAATAATAATGATAATTAAACGAACCAAAAGTGGCTCTGAATAGGAGAAGCTGTAAGTAATACACACTCGTAACAAATTAGAAATGATAATTCGTATAACAGTAGTTAATGGGTTAACCGAAAGCTCATGATAAATGGAATACATAGACATAGTAATATGGTTGCTAAGTAATTATAAAACCAAATTATAGTTGACAATAATTCGAAAAACCAGTTCGAACTTCAACAATACTTGTTCCGTTATAAAAACTAATCTCAGCACTGCTCACTCAGATGTTCCGAAAAAACACGAGCGACGCGCCAAGAACACCTAAGATCAAAACCCCGCATCGTATGCACGTCTCCCACTTTTATGGACTATGTTTTACGGTGACAGAGAAATACAGAGTGAGTCTCTGCACTGTATACTCCCTCTTTAGTTGGCAGACGGACATCTCGCCTGTGACACAAGTGACATAAGGCTAACTGAGATTCCTAAATCGGTGCCAAGATTTTGTTAGACACAACTACCCCAAGGGAGATGAAACTTCCAAGATAAATGAAATGGACAGAGCATCCAATCACTTGATTCTCTATCACGTTCAAGCGATAACTAAGAACAACTGTTAAACAATATTTTGTACTTAAAGGAGAGAAACGCATTCTACATATGCTTGTATTTCCTCGTTCCCTATATTCTAAATGAACTTTCTAATAACAAATCACTCTCTGAGAAGTTAAATTAAGTGGAATTTCTAGGACATCTAATATAAAATGAAGTAAAAAATGGGGGATAGTGAGCCTGTAAACTGAACTATTTTTCTAAGTAGGATTTTAAAATGAAAATAAACCATGTTACACATAAAAATTCTTAGAAAATATCTTTAATTGTAATATCTGATTTTGTCTTACTTTTTCTGATTCAAAATGTTCAGGATTTTGAACATTGAATACTGCTTGAATCCATTCTGACGAAATATTTGGACCAATCCACATGATAAGATAAATTCCATTATCCAATAAATAAGCTGCATCCATTTGTAAACGATCATATGAACAGCGTATAGCAGCTGGAGGATAATGGATATCACCTTCGAAATTCAGTGAAAGATCATGCTAAAATAAGTATTTTTTAAAGAAAGAATGAGGTTGAAATTGAGATAACGCTCATTTGCTAAAGATTACAGGGCAAAACATACTAATACTATCGAGAAAACCGTTTACCAACCTTAAACTCATTTTTATGATGCAAAGATTAGAGATATTCGATTAACGAATTAAACAGATGACAATTATAAGTTTGACTAGTTCCAAAGGTTCCAAGCCTCTGCTAATTCATAATTTAAGGAATTATATATAAACATATACATATAAATTTACGGAAAACTAAAAACGTTAGGTTAAACTTATGTGTTGTCCAATAGAAGTCTAAATGCAACTCATTTGATAAGTACAGGATTATGTAAACGCATTTGAGTTATGCTGTTGGCGTGTGATAATGGGAAGCCTGACGATACTACCCTGAGCACAACTCCCACCCCACCGAAAGCTGAGGCAAGTGGAAAGAATTTTGAACATCGGACACTAGCATTAGCTACTAGTACAAAATGGGTAAAAAGATGAGCTTTGGGTGCGTGTGTGTGAATGTAGCCTAAAACCGCCGTAACTGTGGAATATTGGAGTCCGATAAAAAATATTCAGTTTTCATAGTATTTCATAGCCATAAAAGCATAGATTCATGTACATGGCTTTGAGCAACACTTTAAATGTAAGGGTTAGTAGTGTGGTGTGTGCTACTTATATTGACATAAGTAGTATATGATGTTGGTCGTGAACAGAAGGTCTGGAAGCAGAGACAAGAGGATCGAACAGTAAAGAATCGAAACAGAATGCAATTTGTATGAAAATGCAAGAACAATGAAGTCTGAGTGATTTTGAGACAATTGATGGACATTTTGCAAATTAAGCATTTTATTTATGATTGTTAGATTTTATTAACAAGTCCTGTAATTTGTGTTAAATACATTCAAATGTCCCCACCCGTGTTCTTGTTCACTACAGTAGTACTACCCGGTTGTCCAAACCAAAGTAAATGAGGTGGAGCTGGAACCTGAGACGTAGTGGCTGAAAGTTGAGTCCCTTAATAAATGAATCCCCGCTCCGAATATATATATATATATATATATATATATATATATATATATATATATATATATAAAGAGAAGTAATTATCAGAGTAAATTCTGATCAAATATACAATAACATACAATAGGATACAAATGAGGATAAATATAACAATTGGATTGTTTAACGTCCATTTGATTGACCAAAAACATTTGCCAACAACGATCATCAATTGTGATACCGTCAGCTGGGTTAAAAACAAAAAAGGTATTAATAATAATAGTAATAACAGTAAAAATAGTAATAATAGTAATAATAATAATAATAATATTAAAAGTTTATGTATTCAGCAGAATTAATGACTTTGAAAGTAACATGACAGCCACGAGACCTTAAAGCAGTGAGTTTGATTCCGTGTGTAGTTATGAGATGTTACACCGTGTAACATTTTCAAACTGAACTCAACGAGTTTTTTTCGCAGTTGTTACACCTTACCTTGTAAAATATTATCTATACATACATATATATATTATCGAATTCCAAACTGTCAATCACTTGTGGTTATGATGATGATGATGATGATAACTGAGACTAAAGAGAGTATAACATTTTCAGCAAATTTACCTCACAGTTACAAGTCCTCTCACTTATGAATTATCTCGAAATACGGACACCACCAAGTTTCAGACAGTAGTAATAATAACAGTAACAGTAATTCATACTTTACAGACTAGTCAATCAGATTTAAGACGGCAACTATGAGATTTTTGCTCGGCCTTCAAAATGTGATAATGGATAGTTTGTATTTTTACTGAGTAAAGTAAGAAGTGTGCAAAACCTATCAAATTGATATAAACATGATGGTCAATGAATAAGAAAGACGAACTCCGACAAGTTTTTTTTTCTTCGTTCCACGATAAGAAAATAATACAAAACAAATAGGATTCTAATTGTAAATAAGCATTTTAACATGATTTATAAGTTTTTATAAATAATTTAAAGATTATTATCAGAAGTTAGACATTAACACCGTTGGACGCCGGCTCAGTGGTCTAGCGCTCACGCGCAAGACTGAGAGGTCCTGGGTTTAAATCTCGCGGGGGGCGGGATCGTGAATGCGCGCTGCTGAGGAGTCCCATACTAGGAGTCACTACTACAAACTTTTAATCTTAAATCTCAATCCAAATGCAAACATCTAACCCAAACAAATTTAACTTTAAACCTTAGTCTGAATTAAACTTCAAAAGTCCTAACGCTAATCGTTTTGAAATTTTTATGTAGAAAGTTATTCATTCAGATTATGTGATCTGATTAGCTAAAAGGTGATTTCATTTTCTTAAAGTCATTTAGGATGCTGAAGGACGTCAGGAAATAAGCATACCTTCGACATAATAGTAATAATTAATAATAATAATAATAATAATAATAATAATAATAATAATAATAATAATAATAATAATAATAATAATAATAATAATAATAATAATAATAATAATAATAATAATTAATCAATTGATTAACAAAACACGACAAACCAGGACTAAAAGCTTCAGTTTTCATAAGACATTGTATGTACAAAGGAAATACTTTCATATTTTGTGGTAATACTAATTCACTAGGATTCGAATTTACATCATTCGGACCGCAAGCACAATGACGACGATAAGCAGCCAATGTGTTAGCAGCTCTTGTCGTTAAATCATCCATTACTTGTGAATGTGTACGGTTGAGTAGAGAACGCATTGAATATTTACTCAACCAATTCATATGTGCATCTAATTCGACAAGACGAAATACATCAGGTATCATACTTGTCACTGGAATTGACAGATTATGAATACGTAGCCTTCGTTGTCCAGATATTGAAGTGTAAAGACATGCAACCTGTTTGAAATGTAGATATAAGAAACTTTAAATTTATTTAGAATCATTAAAAAGATTAATATGTTACTTTCGTTTGACTAATCCCATTACTACCTACAGCATAAAATTTGAGAAATTTTTTAGTATTTCTCACTTTCAAAAAATCAGACGTAGTAACAAAACGCGTTGTGTTTTGTTGTGTCCGATTCTGAGACTATTGATATATAACCTTACTATTTGCGAGCTCAATTGACTACTTGAAAGAGAAAACTGAGTAAAAAAGAAACTTTGTATCAGCCGACCGAAGAGAGAAGTAGGTGTACACCTATATATATGTCTTGATAGTTGCTTCTCTCCCTATTGATATGGTGTGGGAATTTGAATCGACTCGTCTATGTCCCAGGTTTAATGTTGCTTATGACTGACCATCTTAAATTATACACTACTAAGTTCGTCAAAGTATTCTCCCGGAATAAATTCTACGACAAAATTCCTAATGATAAGAACTTACTTGAATGAATACGTGTTCGCCTTCTTGAAGTTTATCATCATGACGTAATTCTGCAGTGATTGCCATATCTGAACTAACACTAGCCAACTCAACATCAGTTGTATTAGGTAGGTAACAATTACCAAAGAATTCAACAGGTCTAATACCAGTACTTGTTCGAACACGCATAACAGCGTTGAAAGCTTGTAGGTTGGTCAAAGTACGTTGAAGATCGGCTATAAACTGATGACCTTGTAAATCAGCCTGTAAGTATTAGTAATAAGAAGTTTTCATCGTTTTTATCATCTACATTATAAAACAATAATTTAATAACAATGAAAAAGATAAAATTAAATTTCCGAGAATACAAGACAGTATATTTTGACAAAATTGTGTAAGCTGGGTTAGTGAACGGGTGCCCAAACTGAAGCAGGTTTTCTTAAGGAGCCGCTCCTCTAACCTTTGAACCAAGAGTTTTAATCCACAAAACACTGGAGCAACGTCAAAACATCCCGCCCCATGGTATCCGGTGACCAAAATAAGTACAAATACTCCTTGTCCCCTTAGGATCCTAAAGCTTGGTTTGGAATTAGATTTTTTACCCCCGTCAAACCGATTCAAACGCCAGATGTTCGCTTTCAGTTTCCAAGCTTTCGTAAAAAACATGGCTGCTGTTTAAAGTTAGTAACTAGAACTTTCCTGACATATAGTATAAACACACAAACGTGTGAGAGCATTGTGAGAGGTGGGATGAACTCTCCCCACTCTGGGTTGCATTATGAAGCTTCAATCATGAATAGAATCAGTCCCTAGCAACATTGAGCAAACAAACAATGAATGAATACTTTCAGACATTGTCATATTTCTACCTATATGCTTAATTAAGGTATGATTCGACAAGCTAACATTCAAAATTATGAAAGTCATCTGAGGCACATTAAGATACAAATTTTTGTGTAGAATTTCAGAACAATAATGATGAACTAAACAATCTCATATTAGTTATTGAATACATAAAAGAAAGAAGTTTATAATAGTGAAGTGACGGAACAGATCAACAATCGAATCGTTTGAAGTATAATAATATCAACACAGTAAATCTGGAGACGATGTTATGAAGCCTAAGATATGATTAAAATTTGAAAAGGATCTCGGTTTACCGACGTCGCCAAAGAATACAATGACTGAATACAGAGAATCCTCGGCTCGGAGAGGCCAACTTTCACAACCATAGAGCAGAAATTCTTTCATAGATATGTTGTAGACCTGACCCTTTACAGCCAGATTAACATTACCAAAGATGACTTAGATTGCCACAAGTTGCTAGGGTTTCCACAACACGTAGTCAGGATAATGATCATATATTCAAAAGGCTAAGTATGATAACTTCCTCCTTGTATCAGTGTCGTGTCGATTAACCGAATTCTGATTTATGACGACAGGGTGCACACTGAATATATTAGTACAGACACCTAATACAATAATCAGACATAATTTAAAGCAATTAGTCAGACATAACTACAAACAACAACTCGGTTAACAATCAACATCCAAACTTTGTGAAAAGGTAGAGCATCGGTCTTTATAAGTGACTATACTAACTCGACAAAGACATCATTATAAAAACTATCAAGTAGATATCTAGTGGGTGACCCAAAATACAAGAAAGAAAAAACGATGAAATGCATCAGGAGTGTACAATGAACAGAATACACTAATAAGAGAAAAAGGAACTATATGACGTTGATAGATTACTAATAGTGCACGATAGAAAGGGGTATAAAACTGTAACGATTCGAAACTCATAACTTCAATAGTTGAAACTTATGCGTTTTAACCATTATTAGGTTACCTGTTAGTCAATTCAACGCCTTATTAGTTAATTTTCGATAATGGAATTGTAAACACACTAATATTAATTAAGTACACAAGACAACAATTTTTTTCAGAAAAATTTAACTACATACCACACTAAAATATTTTTACTTACCTGGAAACAGTTATATTTGAATAAATGACCCGATGTCAATCTGGGCACTTCGGCTAAAGAAGCAATATCAACAAATGAATTAGGGAAAAGAAAAAGATCTACACTGCAACCAACTTCTACGCATGTTTGACCAAGTCCAACATAAAAATCATTATCTGGAAGAAGTAAAGTCTGTAAAAATAAATGAATAAATAAGGGGTGAATAAAAGAAATCTTGAACAGCTGTTAATATAGAAAAATTATTATTATTATTATTATTATTATTATTATTATTATTACTATTATTATTATTACTAACTTGTTACCGGGTATAACCACACTCTAAGTATGAGAAATCTAGTGATAGTATATCCTAGTTGCTCAAACAGAAATAGATAGGGTGGAATTCGAACCTGTAGCTTGGTGACTGAAATTAGAACAAATTAATTATCGAACCACCCTCTTTGTAGGTAAATGGAGACAGTTAACCACATTGATTAAGGCTGCTTTAATGGTAGTCTAGCGTGAATTGACCCGTGAATTCAACTTTAAAAATAAATTTTTGCTTAAAAATCCAACTGGTACTATCTTAAATCTGATGGATTTATCCATAAATCATAATCTCACCCTGGCACATTTAAATCAAGTCCTAAGCTCTTAATGAATGAAAGTGTAGGTGGAGTAAAGTCCTAAGTCAAACAGGGGTACGCTGATTGGTCCACTTCCGACCAATCAGTGCTGGACAAAGACTAAGCTGCTAGACGGTACTTATGTAAAAATTCTATATTTAACTGCATTACTTACTCTGTTAGGGATGCTACCCCTACAACCTTTCGTTGTTAAAGTTACTAAAAGCTCAATAAGAGATGTGGTCGCTAGCAATATGCAGAGAAAAGAATATACATTATTCAGATGTTTATTTACTGGACTGCTAACATCTAACTGGCTATCACTCAATATTTATCGTCAGGATCGACCCAGAAGAAAGAAACGAAAACTTGTTGAAATACTTTGTGCTGAGAATTCTATATTGTACCGAAAATATAATATTGAATAAAGCTTATAATAATAATGATAATAATAATAATAATAATAATAATAATAACTCAGTCTGAAAAGTCGAAAAAATGAAAATTTCGCAAATGCGATAAAAATGATCTCGGTGGTTTAGTTATAGTATTCCGACACCAGACAATCGGTTTTAAGCGTTATTTAAGCCATAACGCTTCAGACTGGGCTATTTCGTTTACTACCCTACGTATGTGTTGTATGCAGTACAAGTTATATGGCTATGTAGAGCTGAAGGTCTCATATGAGGCTGGAGGTTCGCCATTGGTATTGTGGATGGTTCAGCATTGCTTTGGCAAGTTTTGCTGGCTGTTCATGCACAAAATTGGTTTGCTGGTTAACCGATTTCATTCATACTGGTGGTTGCTTTTCAGTGTTCTCGAGGGCCATTGTCATTGGGACATTGTAAGGCATGTCGCCTTTGCTAACATTAATGAGCTTGACGGTCGTGTTAGCGGAATAGGTCAGCTTTGGCCTGTTCGTGCTGTGCATAATTGATTCACGCGATGATTGATCGGAATAATCATACATGTGATGTGAATGTGTATATGAATGGTCCACCAGGATGCTTGGTACCTGTGTAATTGCGCCACAGGATTGAGCTGTACTGTTTGGGTTGTCACGTGAAGGTCTGGATGGTGTCTGGTTCTCTTGAAAATCAATGTAAAATTACCCTGGCCCACATGGGTATATTGCATATAATATGACACCCTGTTTTGCCACAATACGTGAGCATGTATTTTAGGACGTTACACGTACTAGTCATACCTACTTTAACAAGCTAGAACTTCTGTTTGAAATTCAGAATTTAGATTAGACGAATACTTACAGAAGTATATTAGTTGTAGGTTTACACTACCCCTGAAAGTATTACGACGTAAATGACATCCACTATTGTTATACCTTTAACAGTAAAAGAACAAACAACAATAACAGTAATAATTGGCGAAATCATTACAGTATTCCATGATGATTTCAAAAGTGGGAGACGTGAAAATGGTATTTACCTTTTCTTTTTCAGTTCCTATAAGACGACGATCATCTCGATTTTTCAATTTACCCGGTGCTTCACCAATCGGTAGATTAGCATGTATGACAAATAATTTTCCAGAACGATTTGCAGCACGTAAAGCTTCCATTCCGGATTGGATAGCTGGGCCTAATACACTATCTGTAGGTTGTCTGTTTAAAGCATTCTCTGTACAAAATTGAGTAGGTATCATTTCTAAAATACTAGAAATGATAGCAGGATCAGGTGGTATCAAGAAACCTTCAACTGTAGGCACAAACACATCTTCAATATCCGCTACAATATACATTTGAGGTTTACCATAAGAGTTATAAGTGTTCTGATCTGTAGATTCAGATGTTTGTTGAGCAGATGACGACGACTCACGAGGTACAGTATAGAAGTGAAGTTGATGATCATATGTAATAAATCCCAATCGAATTGGATTAACCATATCTGGTGATGTAAATTTTTCCCTATATTAAGAACACAAAATACTGTAAGACTACTTAGTTACCCTTTTAAAGGAACCTTTAAAAAGAATCGTATAAAACTTTTAGAAAGACAGAATGTTGTCTTCATCGTAAGTAAAAACAAATATGATTCATAAAAAACTGCAAAGCATAATAAGTGGAACAATTCAAACTGAAAATTCACCGAAATCAACAATAAAAATAAATAATCTAGTTGCTGGGGATTAGTTACTCCCAGTTTTAAATCTGATTGACAATGTAGTGTGAATTACTGAGCTCAATAATTACATATAGTAGATGTGCGATATTTAATTTGATATTTATCACCAGAACTATGAAACCTACATTTTATGTATTCTAAAACAAATCGACAAAACAGATCTATAAGTTGTTGATGATAACAACTATGAAATCTGTGTGATGTTCTCACTGAAAAGTAAATCAATGATTAAGGGTACTTTCAGTAACTGAGCATTTCCTCAAAACTTTTATCTTATCAAATAGGTTGACCAAGACAAATTAATATAAGCTATAAATAGAAGTAACGAATCGAAAGTAACGAAACGAAAATTAGTTGGAAAGAAATTTCTTCGCTCGGTTTGTTCCTTTTCTATTTATCGAATGTCAAAACGGGAATTTTCACTATATAGATAGAAGTATTTCCCTGGTCACCTTAAACTTGACACATGTTTCGCTTATATCAAATCCCTATTTTGTGACAAGTATTTACTGATAATAATGAAAAATATTAAAACATCTAAAAAGTTGGAGAAAATAGTATGAGGATTAGGTTTTTCACTGGATTTTCAATTTTTCAACAAGAGAATTTAATTTTTAAAAATGCTTCACATGTGTTGATATTAATGAATAATATAAGGAAGAAATACGTCATCATTTTAACAACATGATCCATTATGGTAACTTGAACAACTGTATATCTTTCTCAGCCTCTACGTTGATGATGACTGACTGACTGACTAACTGACCACCCTCAATTCTACTCCATTATGGAAGGTTTAAAGTATTTATGATGAACTAATTTTTAGTTAAAACGATGGATAGAAATCTGGTCCATAGACTGTATGACAATAATATGTTATTGACTAATAAATGCTAACGATAGAGAATTATTGACGGAAACCTTAAAGGTAACAATTACAAAAAGATAATACTTGCTATTAGAATGAGAATTCTTTTTACTAAAACGACATTTGTATATACGACAGATTACGCATAAAAATGAATATGATTAGACGTCATTTGAAACGCGAGTGATTACAGACTGCGGGTCTTGTAGACCACTAACAAACCCAATGAAATTGTAATCTTACTAAATAGGCTCAATTATTGCTTGTTATATTGTAATAATAAGTGTGAAATAATCATTACCACTTACCTAGGTAAATTTGGTAGAATACGTTCTACAAACTGGGAACAGAATAGCTGTACTAAACCTGAACGTATAGCAGATTGGGAAACATCTAGTAGAAATATGATGGCTGGAGGTAAAGGTAATTGGTTGTTTTTGCAATATTCCGCTGTTGCTAATAATTCGTAACTGCCTAAACATAGTTCAGGTCTTTGACCTGCATCAACTCGACGTCCAGTATGATCTAAATGAGCAAAATATTCAGCGGCAACTTCAGTTAAACCATTACAAAGTGGACATTGGAACCTTCGACCACCGTCAATAAAATTCATGAAGGGATTCATGTAGGCTTTACATCGAACACATCGAACTGGACCCTATAAAATAAGGACAAATATTTGAAAACTACTACACATCTGGACAGGATCACATGAATCTAAAGGAAAAACACTTATCATCATCAAAATCTGTCTGTAGGACAAGTAAATAAACCAATCAAACAGAAACTGTTTCAACAACACAAGTCCTTCCTACTGTTACAGACTACAAGAATATTTTTCATAGGACTATCGATTATAAAACATTCAATTCTATTATCCGTTACACAAAATAAAATATCTAGAGGCCAATTCGAAAATGGTTAAGATTTTATTTGAATTATTAGGGACTGTTACATATATCTGAGGTGTGGAGAGTCAACTCTCCCTCTCGAAATAGCCTCATATGGACACGCGTAAACAGCCACTGCCGAGGAAATCCTTCTCATTACCTCCTCGCGACGAGGGTGATGTTTACGAAATTGAGAGGACGAAAAGCGAATGTCCGGCGCTTTAACCAGTTTAATAGACACGGAGGGTTCACCTAAAGAGGTTGCAAAAACCTGGTTCCAAACCAATGGTGGACATGGGCTCCGGAATCCTGAATGAAAAGATGGCATACGAACCTATTGTTGGTCACCGGATACCATGAGACTGTATCTCCTGACGTTGCTCCACTGCCTTGTGGATAAGAACCTTTAGTTTGAAGGTTCCGGATGTGGCCCCCTAAGAGAACCGCCTACTCCGATCTAGGCATATGGGCAATATCACATTCCACACACAGATCAAGTGACTTGTGTGACGCAAATGTATTCGGTGCCCTCTTGTAACAATGTTTGTGCTTAAATAAATAAATTGATATTGGTTAGATATATATAAACCTGACTTGCATGATAGAAATAGCCTTTAGAAAACAGTGGGCGGTACTCATTTAGGACCTGACTTTTAGTCACTGAGTTGGGGGTTTAAACTTTATCTTAGGTCGTAACAGGAAAATTACTAGGTAATGAAACTGCAATTTCATTACGAACAAAATGATTCCGAGTGCTGTTAGACATATGAGGGTGGTTATCACTACCTTGTTGTCCATACTGTAGAACGATACTTTCCAAGCTACCTGAAAAGAAAATTGGATAAGTAGTGCTCTTGAAGACCTAGGAGAGGGACCAGGGAGTGTCCAAGAGACAATTGCTTAAGGTCGGCGGCACATGAACTTTTTGCCTGTTCTTGATATGTTAGCTCCGTACTTTTAAGGCCTTACCGTCGACGACGGAAATCTGTGGAGCATTGTGAGCCGTGTCATTTGCAGGGGCTATCTTTTCTAACTCTCTTCTGTTGTGGCAAGGTAGCGATGTTGTAGATAATGGTTTTCTTACCTAACTCACTGACCCTCATACACAAAATGTTTGGCTGAAGATCAAGTGAACTCAACTGTGCTTGATGGATGATTTACATTAATTAGTTTTCGATAGTTAAACAAGTGCTTGAGAGGAATAATAAGTGTCTAAATTTTTATATAAATCAGATTATCTTATCCTTTTTAAGCCTATTAAAGTACTGTAGGCCTACCAGATTCTTAACAAACTCATGCGTTTTTTGCATACGTAATTCTTGTAGAAAACAAAATTTCACATTTACACTTATCCATCTTGTTCGTTTGCTGAAATACAAGTCCTAATTGGGTCACTTAGTTATATATCATTTCGTTACATTGCTGAAAAGAATCGTCGAAAATGTTTAAATTCGCGCACGTTGTGGATTATATCGACAATCGTTAGAACATAGTATATATGTCCAAAATTATTGATCAGAGGAAAAACAGGAATGTCTTAGTAATTTGCTCTAAGCTGTGGATAAATAAGAGAACATATTCCAAGTTGGACTGAATTACAGATTTGTATTTTTGTCAAGGAATAATCTATTTCTTCACACATGATTTCGTATAATAAAACTGTAAGAACAAATAAACGAATAACAAAGTTGAATAAATCAGAAATGAGTCTCATGTATAATTACGTCAAATAACGAACAATGCTAGCCATTATTGTGTATCTACAGAAATAATTACTGTACATAAACAAAATGTATTTAAACTGATTAAATCGTACTAACAAAAATAGATTCCCGTCATTATTAAGTCTAACAAATTTATTTTAAAGGTATGATTTCATTTCAGCTCATTTTTTAGATAGCTCCCATTTAAAGGATACTACAGACAACTAGCAAAGTTCATAAATACTTATACACACGTCAATAAAAATACAAGTTAATAACTTGAATATGTACACTTCTTAGTCGATAAGGTACATCACTACGTTACAAATTCCAGTACCGTTTTGCTTTATAACAACTTACTTGTGGACCCATATCGCTTATCACAACATTCATATCTTCTGTATGTTGTACTGCAAATGGAGATATTGTAAGTGAAAACGGGATCCCAACAGTTTTAAGGAGATCTGATGAATTCGGAACAGAGTATAGTGAAGATCGAATGAAACAAGGTGCACATGTACCCTGGTCACGTGATATAAAGTCAGTTGTGACTAGAGGAGGCACAACACCTCGTTGTCCTGTATAAAAAGGTCCAGTACACTGAGCCCGATTGCTCTCAATAACCTAAAAAAAAAGAATTGAAGGTATAGGTAAATCGTAAGTTAGGTCAAAATCAAAGATAGTGAACATTTATAACCAGGGGTAACAAAGCTTTATGACAAGCTTATGAAAAGAATAACATCATATAACAAAAAGTCGAAATCGCCGAAAGTGATATAAGAAAGTCATTCACCTGTCAACTTACGATGCGACAAAATTATTTCTGGATACTTTTCAGTTAAATAAAATTTTCAAACCATTCCTACTAATAACGTTTACTATAGAAATACTACATATCTACTTTTTTAAGTGCATACCTACAACACACACAACCACAGATTCGTATCATACATTAACTTCAAAATCTTAGACCGTCCACTAGCAATGACGACTATATACACTGCGTGCTTTAATCAAACGTGTAGGTTCTTATTCACAAGCTGGACTAACCCAGTTTACAGGAATTACTTCACTTAAGACGTGTGACAAATAATCCGGTTTTTAAAAGGTGCACTTTATTAAGCTGTTAGAAATACGTATGTAAAAATAAATACCCAAACTAAGTGAATATAGCCCAGAATGAAGTTTACAACAGAAGAATAATCAACCTATACGCAACCACTAAAAGTTCACTATTAGATTTTGAAGTTGATTATAGGAAACACTAGACCTAGTATATTACACTCGGATTCACAGAACTTGAAGTAAAGTCGAAATATTAGTACATATTATGACAGACAGGGATAGATTCCATTTGCGACGACGAAGATCAGTTCCATATATATATATATATATATATATATATATATATATATCAAAGTTGTTTTGCCATAAATCCGCTAGAACTAGTGAAATCCCTTTAATATGAGACAGTCAAACCATCACAAAAAGTTATGAGCTACTGTCTGAGTCATTATCATGTAATGGTTGGTTATTTCTATTGACTTTTGACATCGTATTATTCTACTTTTATTGAACCAATTATCTTGTTTATTTAAATTTTTTACCAGAAAAATCAAATATACTATTTTTGTCTCGATGTCTTGCTTCGATGAGGAAAGTGGCGACCCGATATGCACAAGATGTTCAAATGATAACATTTATGTATTTAGTTAACTAAGCTCTTTTACAAATCGAATTGACTAATGAAAATCGTTCTGTGGAGATCCTTACGCCAACCAATAAATGCACGGGGAACATGGTTGGCTATCTATACGAATATTCATCATCATTTGAACGTTAAGGTTATTTAAATACCAATCTCTGGAACGATTTCAAGTATATGTTTAGGAAATAATTGTTAGCTATTGGCAAACATATAAGTTCTGAACACTTTAATAAAAAAGGTACAAAAACAGGTCTAAATAGTGTTCCAACTATTGTGAGTTAAATGGGAGGGTAAAACAAGCTAGTTACGAGATGCCTGGTTTAGATTTAAGCAATAATAAATGAAAATTCCAAAATCACATTCCTATGTAAATTTACCCCGGGATCCCCTTACTTGGCGATATATATCGCCACTATAAACGGGAAATTGTCTAAATGTTGATGGTACATGAGGCATAATAAACATGTTAGACCATGAGATTTACTAATAATTATAAAACAAAAACTATGAAATTTGAATACCTCGATAGGACTGGGTAATCTATCTGCATTTATACTTTGAGAGAACTGTGGTTGTCTGGATACTGGACCGTTTTGATATGCCTGTTGAGAATGTAATGTATTTATCTGGGTGTTAGCACCATTTGGCAATGGAAACGGACCTGGAGGTTGAGGTTGTCGATAACTGGGTGGTGGAACTCCCTCATGTCCCGGAGGCATTGGTGGCATTGGAGGAAGACGCGGCTGCTGAGGACGTTGAACAAAATCCTGATGGTTTGGGATAGGAGGCATGGGTGGCAACGGTGGTTGATTCACACTCTGTATTGACTGAGCGGAATAATATGGAGGCTGAGATTGTGATTGGAAAGTCTGTCCTTGATTTCCAGAATAGTAGTTAGGTGGTGGCTGGAAGCTGCTGTTAGGATGACCTTGCGGGTAAGTATCTGTCACATTTGAGTTAGAAGCACCATAAACGTGCTGACCAGAAACACCGGGGTAATTGTATTCTTTCTCTGGCTGCAACGACTGACGATTGTACATACTCTGACCATTTTGATTGTGTAACATTATCTGAACTTTAATGCATTAGGTAAAGGAGTCACTATAAAAGTGAACCAATAAACGAGAAAACCCTGTGACGTATTTCCTTTACGAACACAGCGGTAAATCCGTAGGACAAGATGTAGTGCGTTCAAACGACATAGACTATAGAAACAAGGAAACTTATTATTTACACTAGTATCGACCGCAAAGCTTACATTGTGTTTAAAAGAGATATGAAATTTGTTTAGCGGTAGTTGGGAAGGACAGGGGGGTAAATTGCGCATTCACGATCTCGCCTCGCGAGATTCGAACCCGAGACTGTTATTAAGTGTAAAACATTTCATATCTATGCACTGTATTGCATCGTCTTGATAATACCAAAAATTTTGAATTGCCTTTCATTTAAAACACACCTTATATGTTTATTGAATTCTCAGGTCTTATGAGCATTTTCATTAATTGACCATCATTAAAACGACCAATAAAATTGATATGTGTACTAAACTACCAATCAGGGTAGAGCATAAAGTTACTGCACACATAAAAGGGAGATAATAATTTCACCTGCCGTAAGAAAAATTTTACTGAGGATAGCCTAATACGATATTTACAATACGGTAAAATGCTTAAAGGAAAAACATATAATGAAAAAGTCACAAGAAAAACAAAGTAGCATGAACAAAGCAACATTAAGATAGAATACGAAAATCGTTTATTCATTTGACATACACAATGGGAAAACCAAGGTCCTCAATTTCAAAATGGAGAACAGCAATGCAATCACTCCTGATGGCGAAACTCTGGAAGATGTAGAATCCCTCACATACCTGGGAAGCATGATCGATGAGCAAGAAGGTTCAAATGCAGACGTAAAGACGAGAATTGGCAAAGCAAGGGCCGCATTCCTACAATTGAAGAACATATGGAACTCAAAACAACTGTCAGCCAATATCAAAGTGAGAATCTTCAATACGAATGTCAAGGCAGTTATACTTTACTGAGCTGAGACTTAGAAAACTACAACAACCATCATCAAGAAGGTGCAAGTATTTATAAATAGCTGTCTACGCAAGATACTCAACATCCATTGACCGGATAACATCAGCAACAGCCTTTTGTGGGAAAGGACAAACCAGCTTCCAGATGAAGAAGAAACTAGGAAAAGACGATGGAAATGGTTAGGACATTGTGGTGTTTGAATTAACTAATGATTCTTTTGTACTTGTTGAATGCTCGATTTCGAATTCTAAATACAGTACATTCGTTGTGCCTGTGTCTTCTTAATTCAATTGCGTTAATCCTGGGATTCCTAATTCATACTATAATTAGAATACTATATTGGCGTCGCGATGGAGCCTGCAATGGAAAAGTTAGATATTCATTCAACTTCAAAAGCTTTTGAAGATTACTTTGAAAGGTTCGAAATCTGGGCTATGACCAAGGAAGATGATGAGGATGTTAATATTGTGGCACACTTCCTCACATTCATTGGAAAAGAAGCATACAGCTTATTAAGAACTCCGGCTATGCCGGAAAAACCCATTTCGCTTTCTTATACAGCTCTCAAGGATCTACTGCTAGACTATGCTCAGTATACAAATTTCAAATGTCGTAAAGGAGGAAGATTTCGTAAAATGATTCATGAGGATATAAAAAAGTCCACTACAGTACTACGTCATCCTAACCCAGTGCATACTCAAAGTTATGCAGACAATTCATTGAATTTGGATGCAGTTCACGAGGATGGGGACAAGTTTCGTCAGTGTTTGTCCTGTTGCAAGTTCCACTCTTCTAATTCATGTAAATTTCATAATTCTAAATGCTTCAAATGTCGTGATATTGGACAAGTTCAGTCAGTTTGTAATGCTAATGTTCATCTTACTGCAATTAATATTAAGTCTTGTAATTCTGATTCTACTGAGTCGAGTATTCATGATGATCATTTATCTTTATCAACGATTTCAAAAGACAGTGCAGAGTCATATGGCAGTTCAGAGTTAAATGAAATCCAGAATTCTTGTGAGACAACATTTCCTAATCAACCGATTTATCAGAATTCTCATGCTATTGTACCAAGTATGACTTTTCCTAATGATTCACATATTTCTAATGAAATTACTTGCAATTCTGAGGAAAATATGTTAAATGAACCTAATCATGATCGAAAACCCGATGTGGTTTGGATAGATGCTGATTTTTCTAACGATCCTACGCTCTGCAATGACAGTCCTGATGAATTTCATGAGAATATTTCAGAAGAATCGAATCCTGATGTCATATCATATATTACCTATCCTCATGATGTATCTGATCTTCGTGAAAAACCTGCCCAATGCGAAGCACGAGTACTAAGTGACCTCGAGTTTTATTATATTTCGGATGATTTCATATCAACTGCTGTTTACTCTTATCACAAAAACAGTTCTAATGTTTACTCTAAACAATGTGAGATATATGTTTTAAATGAAGCCACATTATTCATAACTTGGGAGTATAAAGATCCAACATTATTTCGTGGGGGGGGATAGTGTTGAAAAATCTATGGTTCGAATTCTAGATATTAATGATTTCATTACAAAACCGACATGCTGGTTGTATACAATTCCAGGTGAGTCTGTTCCGATTTCGTTTGTTAATTCCAATACTAATGAGCACTTTCTAGATACTACAAAGTTTTTATCTTATACAATGTCGGACAGACTCAGGATGAACTTAACAAGAAGACGTACAACCGATTACAAACACTTATACTTCTATTTAAGCTGTGGCGGATGTGGTGTTTGAATTAACTAATGATTCTTTTGTACTTGTTGAATGCTCGATTTCGAATTCTAAATACAGTACATTCGTTGTGTCTGTGTCTTCTTAATTCAATTGCGTTAATCCTGGGATTCCTAATTCATACTATAATTAGAATACTATAGACATACATTACGGAAATCATCACACTGCATCACAGAGCAAGCCGTGACTTGGAGTCCTGAAGGGAAGCCGAAAAGTGGAAGGCCAAAGAACACAGTACGTCGTGAAATAAAAACAAATATGAAAAGAATGAATCACAACTGGAAGGAGCTGAAAAGGATTGCCCAGGACAGGGGTTGGATGGCGAGTGCTGGTGAGCGACCTATGCTCCTTCACAAGGAGTAACAGGCGTAAGTAAGTAAGTAAGTAATTGTCATGACCTATGGTTGACTGCTGTGACTGCGTCATGTCACATGTAATATGTATACAAAGATACGCGAAACATGTAATAAATCATCTGTGAGAAACAATAATTTTTATAAATGGAAAGCGAAGATTTTATTTGCTAGTGATTGGTTTGGTCGGTTTTATCAGACAAAACCAACCAAGAATACAGTCAGCAAATATGGGAGTCTCCATAATGTAATGTAAGGCAAAAGTAAAATGGTTGTAAAAAAAACCAAGAACATTGGGGAGTTAAACACTTTTAAGAGGTTAGAAACCCGAAGAAAAAACAAGGTACGTGTGAATAAAGAGCACAAACTAGATAACGTGAAATACATGCCAAGAAGAACAACCAAAATGTATTCGGATTGGGAAACAAACCCTACTCATTTCATTAAGATACTCTTAGCCCACACCTATCATAATATGGGATCGTCAAAGGAATTTTCATGTAGTTCCCGAACTACGTTTATTTGCTGCACCTAATTTGTCTATTGATTAAACAATTGTTGATTGAATGACTAAGCAGCAATATTTGTCTAGGTAATGCTGTACATTTATATTTATAATGAAATCTAGAACCGTCATTTACTCAAACAACATGTTTTGGCTTCAACTGAGCTATAGCGTGTACCTAAACTAACCTAGACAGTTATTTATCATTCCAAACTTATTTCGTCTGGAGGCTACAAGTATTGTAATGTTTTTTTCGATGTAGACATCAAAGTGGCCACTTTACCCGGATTCCAAGAAACAGTAATCCATATTACGTTCTGATCTTGAGGTGTGACTTGACATCATCCCCACTCAATTCAAGTTGACCGTGGACATCCAAATAGACCCCCTTCATTAGCAATCTACACACCAAATTTCTCATAGTTCTCACTAGATTAGATCAATGAAATGTTTCATTAGTAAGTTATACTCAAGTGGACGTCCATTCAAAGTGGGATGAGAAAAAGTCGTAAGAAACCCGTGCAATGTTATCGTTTTCAGAATCAATATGTTATGAAAATTTTGATAGAAAGCTATCGTGATGTAACTTTCGTGCCACTGAGTACCCCTCGTCTTATTGATAGGAGAAACCAGACTAGCCTTGAATAGGACGTTATTTAGATCGTGAGATAGAAAACAATGGAGCACGAGATTTAAAAGCACTTGGCATAAAGTAATAGATTTAATGTTTATGTAAAACACGGAAGTGAATGAATACTTGAGCCATAATGTTTTGACATCACTAAGATGTTTAGCGGTAAATTTAAACGACTATTGCACGTAAGGCACTTCTCGACATTTTATATTATTTTTTTTTTAAAAAAAAACAATTTTAATATGCTTATATATTTTTATTTCTATTTAAAAAAACAAAAAAAACACAATCTTTTTAACGCTATTACGTGTTCATGAGTTTATTTTCCATTTTTTTCCGCCGACATTGTGTTTTTACGCACATACGAGTGTATTTTCGACATGCACTTACATTTTCTTTTTTCTTTTCCAGGACGGCTGGAAAAAGAACGATGACGTTTATGAGGATCCGAAATTTTCATTGTACATTTTCTTTTTTTACTATGTTGTACCTCCGTCCTATATAGTAAGGAAAGACGACCAGACGCTGCTAAATTTAGTAAGCTATCAGAAGAGTGTTTACCAACGACAAACTCGTTGGGTTTAAACTTCTGGCTGGCCACGTCTTAGGGTCGTCACTGCCCCACTAGGGGGGGAGTGATCTGTAGCGGTAAATAAATCCCCAAAATAAATAGCTCTGTAAGTTTTCGACATTGGATGCTGACCATATGTTTTAGTGGACTCATCTAACTGAAGGCGCTCGGTCAGGC